GAGCTGGCCATAAGTGTTTTCAATTGAATACATTTGGTTGTTTAAAACAACAGTGGAATTAATGCAGCAATTCTACAACGTATTAAATTTTGAACCATTCTGATGTCAGTTGATCATGTTTCCCACTCGCTGCAGATTTAGTCTTATTTCAAACTCATTTCAGGGTAGGGTTTATATTTTACTAATCTGAAACTCAAAACATATATAATGTAGTTAAATCTATATAAAAAAACTAATAACAATTCTTCTTTTTTAAACTGCTTTGTTTAATTTCCCTTCAAATGAACTGCTGCTAAGCTTTATTCATGAAACTGCTTGCTCCTGCTACCATCTGGTGGTTATTTTATAAATCTGCAATTTGCAGAAGTTTCTTTAACCCCACCATGTTGAGAAAAGGTTTTACGCTGGAATGTTGTTAAGAAAAACAAAAATATTCCATCTGCCTTCAACTGAACATTTTATGGAATGATGAATACTTTTTTTATCAAACCCTCCTTCAGCTGATTATTTACTGTTTAATCATTTCTATAGTGTTGCTTAGTTGCGTTGTAACTTCAGAGCTAATAGTCTTGTGACCTTTGCAGAAACCCTGTTTATCCAAAAAATGTTTAGCCTAACAAACATGTTGATGACAATTAGTAGTTACTAAAACTCATTAGTAATTCTATTTACTTTCTCAGGAAACCTTTTAAATATCAAGCACTGCAGCTTGCTCTTTAACCCCAAGATGGGAGCAAAGCTGTTAGATCTTTGTTATAATCACTGGGCATTGTGGTACCCCCAGATTGCAAAGTTGAATGGCAAATTCTTCAAAAACAGCTGCAACAAATGAGAAAATAGATTGATAAAAAGACGAGAAAAGCGCAACTTGGAATGAATAAAAATAAGTTAGTCTTTTCCTTTTGCAAGATGGTTATCCAGGTCAGAAATTGTGAGAAATGATCAACCCTATAACAACATATGTGTCATATTTGATGGATAGAGTTTCCGAAATCTTTTGCATCATTCAAAATTTTTGCTCAAACCCTGTTTTACACGATGAGATTTACCTGATGGCAGCAAGCAGAAACTACACAATCATTTTGACCTATCTCACGGTATTGAATGATGAATATTAAAAAACTATTTCTGTCTAATACTTTGTCCAAGAACCAAATAAAGACTTCAGACTCAAATAAAATAACACTTTCTCTATTTTTTCTTGTATTGGGCTTTAAAGGGTTAAGAC